GTACACGCAGTTAGAACCTCACTCCATGGAGCTTTCTCAGAGGTTGAAGTGCTTTTGCTTTAGAGTAGGAGATGAATAAGAATCCCAGATGAAACACTGACTCTTTTCTCATTTCTCATTTTTGCATGTAACTCTTTATTAATAGCCAGAATATTGGTAGAGCGAAATCAAGAGAAGTAAAAGAAAAAGAAAATATCACCCACATCCTGTAGAAATAGCCTGCCCTTCACTTAAGTCCTATGGGGTTTTTGACACCATTTCTGACCCAGTAAAACATCACTAGCAGCTGGGCCTGGTCTGCCGGGCAGGAGCCTGGGGTATCAGCAAATGGAGCCTCTTCCTGCCTTTTAACATGCTGAGAGAGCTGTCATTCTTTTTCATGCTGTTTCCCTTCCTTTAATTCTCAAAATTCAAATTCAAATTCATCCTTCAAGAACTTATAGGAAGTTTCACACCTGGATTTAAATACTTTGTTTTCGACCTCTGTACTTTCTAAGTCACAAAGTCCTTAGATTGTTCTGTTTGAAAAATGCTTTATGATTCCAATTGGCATCTGGTGCTGGGACTTAACACCTTTTCGGAGGCATTTGACTTTCCCCTAATTCTAAACCAGGCATGTCTGGACATAAATAATGACTGCCTTGACCTTCCTTGCCTTTTGTCTATGAGTTTGGTTTGCATTTAAATAAACTGTTCCTTAAAAAGTGTCATGCTATGAAATCCAGCTTTATATCACTATGCATCACTGTTACATTACGTGAAATAAAGGCACTCATATTTTTGTGGAAATTCTTAAATATGTTAGAATTCATATACCATAGGGAATTTTATTCTTTGAAGCATTTTTAAAACCACGGGGCAATAGACGTCTGTCTTTAATAATGTCAATCCTTTGAATTTAATTTACCAAAAATACAAAAGGTTCTTGGCTGGGAAGGGCAACTGCAAGAAACAAATCACCATTCGCTGTGCCAGAGGAAAATATCCTTCTGAAGGCTAAACTGGTAACATGCTGTTACTCACCTGGGTGGGAGCAGAATGGTCATCATGTCCTGGCAAAGCATGAGGGGACAGTATTGCCATGTTATGCAGAGCATGGAGCCCTAGTTGGCCCCTTCTGAGGCAGAAGAGCCACAGGCAGGGACATCAGTGACTCCAATCCCCAGAGAAAATGTGCACAGAGGCATATTTGATGTCCCCTGAAGTGTGAATCATAAATTTCTTTGCCCTCTGTGAGCAAAGAAGGGGAGATCTGGGTGAGCAGTGGCCTTTGTGCGTTTAGCTGCGTCATCCCACAGCTGTCACTCTAAAAATATTGATGGAGCTAAAGAGAATTTTCTGGGAAAGATTTAATCAATGATGTTCCTGCCATGAACAAGCAAGCAGAAGTGAAAACAAACCAACCTGCTCATGCAAGACATTGCTACTTCAGTTTGCTGTGAGCTGTAGAGATTGTACTGGGCAAGTTTTTAAGCCTGTGATTCTAAGTTGAAAGAGAACAGATGGACCTACCTAGAGTAGGGGCTCTTTATCATGTTAGGCTGAAGAGTCAGGAACATTAAAACCAGCCTTGCCTGGTTGTCAAACAGGGATCACTCTACTCTTTTTATTCTGTCTATCATAGACTCAAAATAAAGTTCTCTGGAGTATATTGCCATTTTTCATATTAATTCTCCACCAGTTGTTTTTTAAATTTTTTTCCTTAGATAAAACATGAAATGTATCAGTCAACATGAAGGTGTTCACCTTCCCCTTCATAAATTTAAAACAGATGCAGAGAATGCATTTGGCCCCGTCTTTCCTTTTTACTATTTATTTATGTACACGTGTGTAGTAGATGCTGTTTACGTTCCTGGTGGAGAGTTAGTACATGGACGTAACAGATCACAGTTCCTTTCTCTAATGCCCTTTCCCTTTACCCGCTTGTCTCTCTACCCATCTGTTCATTCCCTTCTGTTTTGGGACATATTTGCAGCACATAATGTTTACATTACTTGTGTGAAGTTGGTACGTGTACAGGACACATCCTAAGTCTTTTTGTCATCCTGTGTTTCACCTCCTCCTCCCTCCAACTTTTGATCCCCACAGAAACTTTCTAAAATCCTAGTTAGTACAGACTAACTGTACGTATTAATGGAGTTCACTGTGATATTTTCGTACATGCACACAGCATGCATGGATTGTGTCTAATCACTCTTTTTCTAGCCCTGTCCACCCCTTCCCAATCTCCCAAAATGTCTATACTACTTTTCAGGTTGACATTTTTTAGTTTCCACATATGATAAAGACAACGTAGTACTTGTCTTTCTGGATCGTGGCTTATTTGCTTTAACACAATGTCCTTTGGTTCACGAGTCTCACTGAAAAGGATGAGATTTCATTGTTAACATAATAATGTTAATCATCCGTTGTGTATAAACAACATTTTCTTTATCCACTCATCCACTGGTAGGCACCTAGGTTGCTTCAAAGCGTCTGTGAAGAAGAACAACACTCAGTGACAGAAATAAGTCCTGGTCAGCGACTGAGATCCCAGTCTTTCTGAGATGCATCTTCAGTATTTCCCCCTGCGGAACGTATCCCCACTCACTGCCTGTGTCTATAATTCAGTCCCCAGTCTGTAAATGGGATGCAGCTTTATGCACACAGCAGTCCGTTGCCCTGCCGCCTCCCTCTGCTCTCTGATATTTGGTAGGAGCCACATTAAAACAGAAAAATATAAAAGTCTTTTTAATAATATTTAATCCAGTATGTCAGTATAGGCTCAAATGAACAAATGCAACTCGAGGAGATAGTGAAGACTCATTTTAATGTTAAAATCACAGTTCGGAGCCCAGTCCAGGCTACTTCACAACTTAGCAAGTCCTTGTCTCAAAATAACGATAAAAAAGGGCTTGGGACATAGCTCAGCGATAGGGTCTTGGGTTCCCTCTCTAGTACCAAGAGAAACAAAACAGCAGCAATAACAACGCCTGTCTTGATTACCCAGAGTTTGTTCATGTGATCGCAGAGACAGCCAAGCAAGTCTGTACCCACGTGACCAGCAGTCAGGAAGACAAACCTGAGCCCCAGGCGTAGACCAAAGCTTTCCACACCACAAAGAATTTCTTCTCCTCTTGCTCTGGAAAAGCTCAGGCTAATTTTAAGGCTTTCCCATGGGATCAGACAAAGTTACTGAAATATGAAGAATCACCTTCTCACTCAAAGTCGAGTGACTGAGGATTTTTATTATCTCTGTAAATTATCTCTGAACAACCTGAAATACTAACCTGGCCACACAGGCCTGGCAACAATACCATCACAGCCAATATATCCAAATGATATAATTTCACATCTTAGTTATGACAGCTTACTAATGACTCACTTTACTTTTTGATACTAAATCCTCATACTCCTGTGTGTACCTTAGACTTAGGGTACACATCAGTTTGGAATAACTACATACATATCATGGGCTTAAAATGCTGTATCTAGTGGCCCATCCATTGGACAGCATAGGTCTGGGTTGGCAAAGGGTTATTAGGTCACTAGGCCGGTTATCACGCAGCCTTAGAGAAGTGAATTGCAGCTAGGATTCATTTTGTCCAACAGGAGACCTTGGCAATCTCTGATGGTGTTGTCATGGCTGCAGAGAGGTTACAGGGCCCACTGGTGTCTCACAGGCATGGGGACGCTGCCGGATGGCTGAGAATGCAGAGCAGGGGCACCCCACCACAGATAATGCTTCATCTCAGCCAAAAGGCACCAGTGTGAGAAACTGTTGAAGAGTAGAATCTATAGGCATGAATGAAAGAGATAAACAAAAGAGTGTGAGGTAAAAGACAGAAGTCTGTGCGTCCCTCTGAGATCTTTCCTGAGACCTTAGGCACTGTATTCAGAGTTCTGTGAGCTCCTTACCTCCCTTGTTTCTTTCCGGCCATATTCAGTTTGGGTTGGATAAGCACGAAGGGATGACAGTGTTAATGGTGAAAGGATGAATTCATGGCAAAAACGAGGGAGGGAAGACAATCTGCACACTGCTGGCCGCCTACATAAGGAGAAAATAAAGGTCAGCAAATGTCCTTTTTGAAGATATTCAGGGTTTCCCTGTAATTGGTCTTGATTTAGTAGACTTTTGGAAAAGTTACAAAAATGCAAATGCAAATTTACAAATGGAAATTATAAAATGTGTACAGTAAGTAATTAGTATCATCTCAGACCATCTGTGGAAAAAGTTTGATAAATAAATAAGTAAACCTCATTAGCATTTTCTAAGCAAAACCATGATGTTTAAGATTAAGTCACTTTTCAGAGGTAGTCAACATATTTGTAAACTTTAATCTCAAATTCACTTCTATACAAATTAACTGTAACTTCAGAATTAACTTCATTTTCTAAGACTTGGTAATATATGTACACTAAAGCTAGCAGAAAATTGAATATATTTGTTAAAACCTGATGTCTAGAAAAAATGTACAACTGACTTAATGACATGTAGCACATCTGTTTGAAGTAATTATTGGTTAAATGCAGTGCTAACTGCTGATTATAAACATAGCTTTGAGTCAATACTTCTGAGATATATTTCCTATTAGATACTGGTTGTGGTTCATTTCAGAAATTCCTAGTTTAATGTGTAAAAACTAAGTCTTCATAAATCTAAATGGCATTCTTATTATAGATTCTTAATTTGTATTGAGAATAATTGAAATAAAACATAATTATAGTCTGTGGATCAATTTTAGCATAGAAAATGGTGACAATATGGCTCTGTCAATGTAAATTTTTAAGCTTTTTCAGATGTCTCCAATGTTTTCTTTATTTCAACAAATAAGTGATTTTATGCAGAATTATATTAAAGACTCCTTTTATACATCAATATGCTTGTCAGGTATAAAATTTTGTACTTCATGGAATCACAAAGCTTAGGTCATAGATAAGGTTTAAATTTTATACTGATTTACAAAGTTTTTTTTTCTGACTCAAAAAATTTTTAAAGGCTGCATTTTATTTTTCCTTAGAAATACACAAAGAAAAGACTGAAAAGCAGGAAAAACCTGAAAGGAAAATACAAACTAAAGGTAAATATTTAAATTCATGTTTATTCTTATTTATTACACTATATGTTTTTATATGCAAGAAAGAAAATTTGGTATTAAGTTGCTTTTGATTCTTTTGAGATTTTTTTTTTTTTGGTATCATTTACATAAGTACTTTTACTCCTCAGTTAAATTCAAGTGTAAATGTATGAATAATATTCAATGACTGAAACCAAAGTAACTTCAAAAGGTGTGACAATCTTTATTTACAATTGGGTCCTCTTACTAAATATCACCACAGATATATTTTTGACTCATGATGCAAATGTTTCCCTTTTTAAATATGTTACTGCAATCAGCCACAGTTCAACTTTTTTTTTTTTTTTGTCCCGGGGATCGAACTCAGGACCTTGTACTTGCGAGGCGGGCTGTGGCACCACTGAGCTAAACCCCCGGCCCCACAGTTCAGCTGTCCAGGCCTGAATTCCTATACCCTGGTACGTCTTTACAATCCTGTGCGGAAGTGCAGAGTCGCTGTGTCTCCTCCCTGCAGAGACTGCAGCCCCACAGCTTTGGCCGGCAGCCTATGGGGTTGGATGGACAGCGACCAGAGGATGATTAATATTCCTTTTCGCCAAGCAGAATCCAGGCCCGCAATCCTGCACACAAGCATGTCAGTAATGCCCAGCATCGCCTTGTGGACCTGACAAACACCGCTTTTCTGTGGGTGACCCCTGTCATCATAAAACTTTAAAGAACTTACAGGAAGCTGTGTCTGCAGAAAGGACACACTTGGAAACATGCCCAGGTTTTCCCAGGGGTCAATTATTTGGATGAGCCAGGGCAAAAATTCAAATCTCAGAATCAATCTATTTGTATGTCACACAGAGAAAATGGAAGACTTTTCCTGGTGTAAAAAAATGCAATGCTGTTCCATATTTATCATGTAAAATGTGAAGTAATCCAAAATCGCCTATGGCAGATATCATTGCTATAGATCTCGAAGCTTCAAAGAATGGAAGCTCTAGTTGATTCTGATCTACCATGTGCCTCTGTATCCCAGAGCCCTGTTGTTGTTTTCAACTCTATTTTCCATACTTCCTTTTTGTGAAGAGCTGAAGTTATTCTCCCATATTATGTCTTTAATCCTAATGCTTGACTTTGGCCCTGATTGGTCATCCAGACCTTACACATCAGGACACTGAAGCTCACTAGCATGAAACCTATTTATATTCGTACTGGGGGAGCTAATGTCTCCTTGCTGTTTTCCTTCCCTTTTTTGGTTCTTAATTCCTTTGGTTGGGGAAATTGGACACAGCCCTTGGGCAGGGATGGACTAAGGGAACCGTGACTGGACTGGCTGTGTGTTTCTGTTTGCTGGAGTCAAGTCAGATACTCAGGTGCTTCTGTGTGAGTGGGATTCTCCTTCTTATCGTGCGGACTTTGCTATTAACTTCAGAGCGTTGCTGCTGGAGTGGACATTGTCATGCAGATGGTACCATTTACATTTTGGACCAGACTCTCTCCGACTCCTGCTGTCAAAGACTTTGAGCAGTGGGCTGGAGAATAGGTTTATTAAACTACCAAGTTGTCCATAATTAAAATAGTCAATTTGGCTGAAGCTCGAAATAAATTTCTCAAAGTCTAGGCTAGAAATTAGTTACCTGAACGCGTTTTAAAAGTAGACCAAATATATTTGGGGAAACTGAATATTTCCCCCAAAGAGACAGTAGGGCTTCAACTGTTTGACACTGATTTGAGCATCAAGACACTTTATTATTTTTCTCAAAAAAAATTTGTATGTGAAAAGGAGCATAAGATTAATTTTACTTGTTAGTTTCCTATATACATTCTAGGTGGAATACTGTTAGATCTTTGTTCCCAAATATTTCAATACGAGGAAATGTAGCTTTATAACTGTTCATTTATGAGATAAATGTTGTATTCTATATGCATTCTATATCAGTACAATTGTATATGATGAATACTTAAGAACTTAATTTGATATTAAAGCATTTTGAATTCTTATAAGAGATATAATATCTCTGTAAGACCTAAAGTCTCACTTCCACTCCACGGAGCGTGAACAGCCGAAAGGCCTCCACGATGCTGGGCCCTAACACCCAGCGAGGCTCCGGGAACACGACAGAGAACCGAGAAACCCAGGAAGGAACACACCAGGCTAGATGGTAAAGAGACCTTTATTAGTCTGGCCAGACGGCACTCCCGGAGCCAGGTGGCCCAGAGAGGCAACTGCTCAGGGGCTGAGGTACTTTTTATAAGGTTTTTCTAAACAAAGAGTCAGGGAATTCACAGAACAAGACTGCAAACACATTGCTTATCTTATGCAGGAAATGTTCTAGGGTCACCTTTTGTCAAACCATTTGCCCCCGGTCGGGCTGTTAACCAAGGTAGCAATTAGCATATGAAGAAGCACAGTCTGGCCTATTAGCATGGAGTCACTTTAGCCTATTCAAGTCTTACATCTCTAAAGTAATATTCTCATTATAGTATGAATATTAATGATTATGAGCAAGCCAGCAAATATCTCACCCTAAAAAGACTAAAGCTAGTATGCTTTGTGCAAAGATAAAAATTTTGATGATAATAGAAACTAGATAATATTCTCTATATCTTTCCTTTTTTAAAATGCTTACATGGAATTTATATTAGTCAGTTTTCCATCACTGGGACAAAATATCTGACATAAACAATTTAAAAGAGGAAAAGTTTCAGAGGTTTCAGTCCATGGTCAGAAGACTCCAAGGCAGATTCATCATGGTGGAAAGGCACGGAAGAAGAGAGCAGCTCCTCTCATGGCAGCTGGGAAGTGGAGAGAAAGTAGGACAAGCAGAGCCAAGGTGCCTCCTTCAGTGACTCCCCACGATCTACTTCCTCCAGTGAGCACTGACCGTCTAACGGCTCATTCAGCCAATGAACTCGTCAGGGGTTAAGCCATTGATGTGTTAGTACTTTCATGAGCCAAAAGTCCCACCTCTGCACACATAAGCCTTTTGAGGGAAGATTTCAGATCAAGTTGTATCAGTATTCTAGAAGGTCTTTGAAGAGTGGAAGTCCTTAGGAAGCCGGGTGAGGCTGTACCTGCATGATTTACTCATCAACTGTGATAGAGCAAACTAAAGAATATGTAATACTCGTGTGTTACTCAGCTTTCCATTGCTGTGAAAAATACTTTAGAGAAACAATGTAAACGAGGAAAGGTTTTGTGGCTGCAGAGTTTTCCATCCACGGTCTCTTGGTTCCACTGTTTCTGAACCTGTCATGAGCTGACACATCATGGACAGAAGCCACGTTAACGAAAGTGATATCCAGGAAGGAAAGACAGGGAGCGAAAGGGAGTGGAAGGGGGAGAGGGTTAAGGAGAGGAAGAGAAGTGGCCAGGGACAAAATGTGCCCTTCAGAGGCGTGCCCTCGGAGACCCATATCCTCCAACAGGCCCCGCCTCTCCTTTCCATCACTACCTGAGAGCCTGTAGGTCCGTTAATGGATTAATCCATTGACAAGGTTAGAGTGCTCCTGGTCCAATGCCCTGCCACCTCTGAGCAGTGGGCACTAGAGACAGACCTTTCAGCACATGAGCTCTGAGAAACATTCCAGACCCACGCTGTAACAACCCAGAGAACACAGATTGCCAAAACAATTCCAAATCAATGTGCTTATTAATTCATCTCTAAAGCATCAAAGAATTAATGAGTCTCAATTCTGACTCTTTGTAACAGAAAATTAGGTAATTTTTAGAGTCATCTACTTTAAGTGATTTAAATGCAGCATATTAAACTAACTTTTATTCTTACTTTGCCCCTCTTTATTTTGTTTGATGTTTTTCACTGGGGAAGAATATAGCAATTTCACGGAGCTAAATTAAGCCTTTTAATTCATAGCTTCACAGTAAATATCAATTACGGCTTTAAGCATATACTCTGACATGTTTGTTAAGGCTTACCTTTGAACTAACTTAACCTTGTTATTGCCACTTACAAGTGGCAGGAATTAACTTTGTAAATATAAAAAGAATAATGTATGTACTTGTGACCTTGTATTGAATTTCTGTAGAACAGACTGGAACATTACACTTGTTCAGCAGAGACTTATAACTGTAATTTATCTTTTCCTGGATCACCGAGTGTTATTCCTCTGATCGTCGTTCTTAGGAAAGGCCTTGGTGAGCGGGCAGAATGAGCTGACCACAGTACAGCATTGTGGGTACTGAGTAGTACACTCTTGTCCAAGTTAGAGGAATAGTGCAGATTTCATATCAGGGTTCTGGTTAATAATGAAGACTTCTCGCAGCACGTATTTGCATTTGAAGCCTAATATTTTGTAAAGTGCCTTTAACCTTGAGTTTACATCTCGCGATATTTCAGAGGAATGGTTGTCCACTGCGGACATACAGCCAAGTGTTCAGTGATGAGAAAAGCTGACCGGTCTCCTGTAGCAGCCAGCAAGCTGTGGGTTCTTTATAAGCATCAACGACTCTGCCCACAGACGTCTGAAATGAAAGGGCAGAAACAGACTCTCCTTAATGAACTGGAGGGACTAGCAATACATATACAAGTGCTAAATAAAAGTAGCAGTCATTATTTTCAAAACACTTTTCCCTGACCCATTATAAATTAAAGATCTTACTTGATAAGTAAACTAAGAGCAGAGTATGTGCTTTTGCCAAAGAAGGATGGTAACATTATTTAGAAAGGTCTTGAATTAACCAACACGGGTTAAATTCAGACCGAGTAACTTTTGCCTGCATGAGCTCACACGCGCAAATTGATCTAGCTTGGAGACCATTCCCTCAGACCTAAAATAGGGATGATGAAAAGTGTCATTAGACCTAGGTGCTTCTGAAGTGCACATAGGAAATAAAAATAATTCTAGGTTAACTATGGACAGTAAGTACTACCGGCTAGCGACCCAAATCCTCTTAGCTACTTCCGCTTAGACCAATGACAGTTTCTTGCAGGTTTCTTATTTGCATTACGCTTTCTTTACATGTTTGATGCCCCTCGATAGCCATCTGAACACAG